CGTCTTATGCCCCGTCGCCGCTTCGTCGCCGCCCGTCGTCTGGGCCTGCGTGGCGGTTTGGCGGCTCTGTGGTCGTCGTCGCCGCCCCGTCGCCGCCTCGTCGCCGCCGGTCTGGGCCTGCGTGATGGTCTGGCAGCCTCGTGGTCGCCGTCGCCGCCTCCTCGCCGCCCAGTCGCCGCCGCCTCGTCGCTGCACGGCGTCTGGGCCTGCATTACTTGACATTGCGTTGCGTTGCGATGCCGTGCTTTGCATCGCCTTGCATCGGTTTGCGCTACATTCTATTGCACTGCGTTGCAATCGCACTGCGTTACAATTGCATGGCGTTGCGTCGCATTGCTTGGCATTTCTGCGCGCTGTTTTGTGATGATATGTTGTGATCAGCATTGCACCTCATATACTCTCCTCTCTAAAAACGAATATTCATTTGCCCCCCCCGCCTCCCTGGTGGCATCCGTCCACCCTGGGGATCTGCAATTTCAATATGGTTCAGCCCCATCCTTCGCTCGAACTTTGAATTTATTGCGTTCCAGCCGAGGCGGTATGGACCCCCCCTTCATCCTCGTCAAGTGATAGTTTGCGCGCGCATCCGTTTATTCACAATCATCAATTTCCAAACATCCCTCGCAGCACATTGGATGAAGTGCGCACGCGCGCGTCGCCGCGCGGATGCGGCAATGTTTCAAACAGTTTAGGTGTCCTCGGGAATTCAAAATGTTAGCCAGCGTGGACCCCAAACAGTAGGTTCTTGCACTGTACGCGGTGCAATCATTGTGGTGCAATGTATGCGATGCAACTTGTGTAATGAAATCTATGCTGTGCACTCAATGCGGTGCATTCTATTTAGAACATATACGCGGTGCAATATATGCGGTGCTGTCTACGTGGAGCAATTTAGGTGGTGCAATTCATTTGCCGAACTTGAAGTTGTCAGCGCCGCTGCCCGCGTAATCATCCCACCCACCCACCCGCAACTTGGTTTGCCAAACCCATGCGGGAGCGATTGCGATGAGTGCTGGGTGTTGACTGGTGCATCTCTGCGTCCGCGCAAGCCCGCGGATGCTCGCGCGCAGCGGCCAGCTACTTTGGCGCGACCGACGCGAACGCGGTTGCGCGGACCCCACGGCACATCTTAGCCGGCACGTCAGTGCGATTCGGTGATTTGGGCGGGCGTGGTATCATGGCAACGTCGACGACGGTAGACACGATGATGCTAGTAGTAGCAATGCTGGCCGCTTTATTTGTGTTGCGTCCGGGAACGGTAGGAGCGTGTCGAATCATTTCACACATCAGTTCCCTGTCACGGCGGCTTTGGTCGGATTCATTTTGGGTTTATTTGGGGACCTGACAGCCCATCCAGGCTCAGTTCCCCAGCGGTCAGCGCCACCGACTTTGCGTCGGCCGCACAGATGTTCATTTTGAAAAAAGAAATATGTTCTACCCCCTTTCCCCCCGGACGTACAGACCCCCCGGGAACCGATGCAAAGCCTTTTAGGATTCTGACCCAATGTCCATTCTACGTGTGAACTCAAACTATCCCAGCCAGGCCGGTGTCGCCCCCCCCCGCCATCCTGTGCAATAATTTTTGCGCGCGCACTCGTTTACCATAAATCATAAGTTTTCAAAGGCTCCCTTGCAACAGATGCGGCGAAGTGCACACGCGCGCGACGTCGCTCGCGCATGCCAACATCCTCCAAATCTGTTCGTTTCGGAAGGAGCTCAAAATCAAACGCGCATAAAAAAAACATATGGCTTCGCAGCACGGATATCAAACACTCAAAAAACACGCGCGTGCATGCCAATTCTGAAGACAACCATCGGCTGATCAATCTTTTCAGGAAATACTACCAAACGGGTTTCGCGCGCGCGTGTCGAAGTCGTTCGAACGCCCTCGCGCGCGTGCCGTCGCGAGAATCCTTTGCAACAAACGAGACGATGTGAACACGCGTGCGTCGTCGCGCGCGCATGCCGAAATCCTTCAGAAACCTCAGGTTCCGGAAGGGTTTCAAGATCGAGTGCCCAACAAACATACAAGAACACAATTTTCGCAACACGGATGTTGAAAAAAACGTGCGCCTTTGCGAATTCGTTAAAAAGCCAGACGTTTGCAACATGTTCATACCATGTTGCCGAACGGGCTTCGCGCGCGCATGTCGAAATCGTTCGAACGTCCTTGCGCGCGTGCTGGGGTGGCACGATCTGTGTCAAATAGTACCAAGCGGGCCACTATCCCGCGTCTGCGTCGCGCGCATTTCGAATTCCTTTTCAATACCTTCATCACCGACGCGAAGACGCCGTCATCGTCGTCGGCGTGATCGACATCGGCGCCGTCACGGGCCGTGCCGTCGTCGTTGTCAGCATCGTCGCCAACATTGCCACCACTATCATCATCATCATCATCATCATCATCATCATCATCATCATCATCATCATCATCATCATCATCATCGTCATCATCATCACCATCGTGTCTACAAGTGTCGACGTTGCCATGACACCGCGCCCGCCCAAGTCGCCGACTCGCACTCAAGTGCCCGCCTGGATGTGCCGAGCGGTCAGGACCACCGCGGCCGCGTCGGTCGCGCCAAACTACTTGGCCGCTGCGCGCACGCACGTGCGCGGGCTGGCGCGGCCACAGAGATGCACCAGCCAGCGCCAAACACTCATCGCAATGGCCGCCGCATGAGGTTTGCAAACCAAGTTGCGGGTGGGTGGGATGTTTGCGCGAACATTGGATTAGGCAATTCATTGCGGACAAATTTATTCCACCGCATACATTGTACAACGTCGATTGCATAACACAGGATGCGCACCATGAGTGGATAATACATTTATTGCACCAGCTGTATTACCCCACATTGGTTGCAAGGCGTATCTTGCACAACTCATGTTGCCCCACATAGAGTGCACCACACATTGGCCCCACATACAATTGCAAGCTACTGGGTGTACAACATGTGTTGACAGACACACAATGTTTGGGGTCCACGCTGACTGACAGGTTGTTATGAGTCGCGCGTGGCGTGCGCAGGTTTTCATTTTGTGAGTTGGCTTGTCTGTTTGGTGCGTGATAAATATATTCACATGTTGCTGCGCTTCCGTTGCCTGATCTTGTTTCTATTCTCGACGTTGTTGGGCATGGGACTGTCGATTGTTTCGATGCCGTATTCGTTTTCGTTTCGACATGGTGTGGTTCAGCCCACACGTGCCCAGCTCATTCTCGTTCTAGTGTATGGGATGACCCGCCCTGATGGTACATGGGTGGGGGCAAGAGGTCCCTGGCGCATCTGAAGGGACCACGAAGAAGAGAAAGAAAAAAGGCCCTGCACGGCACGCGAAGACGAAGGACCTCCGTGACGCGATACCGCATGCCCAACACATTATGTAAGCCTCTTTGTTGTCGTGTTTTCGCGCGCATTGGGGAGCAATCGAACGCTCACTAGCTATTTGCCTGCTTGCTGATCGCTTTTCCCGGAAAGGGCGCCGGCCCAGGGTTCTCTTTTAGTATGTAAACATATCCCCCCGTGCCCAACTTGAAGGAGGCCGGCGGATTCTTTCCCTGATAAATATCGAGGTCGAAGGAGGCCGGCGGATTAACATTTGAGGATGTCTCAGGCGAAACGCTTGTTTTTGAAATCCCGATCGATAAATCACAGGGTGCGGGCCACCTCAGCACGACCACACCGCAGCCCGACCACACCCCAGCACGACCACGCCCCAGCACGACCACGACACGCCCAGCACGACCACCCCCCAGCACGACCCCCAGCCCCACCAGCACGACCACCCCCCAGCACGACCACCCCCCACGACCACCCCAGCACGACCCGATCGATAAATCACAGGGTGCGGACCACCCCAGCACGACCACACCCCAGCACCCCCCCCAGCACGACCCCACCCCAGCACGACACGCCCCAGCACGATCCATCCCGCACGACCACACCCCAGCACGACCACACCCCAGCACGACCCGATCGATAAATCACAGGGTGCGGACCACCCCAGCACGACACACACCCCAGCACGACCCCACCCCAGCACCAGCACGACCACACCCCAGCACGACCACGCACGACCACACCCCAGCACGACCACGCCCCAGCACGACCACCCCCCAGCACGACCACCCCCCCCAGCACGACCACACCCCAGCACGACCACACCCCAGCACGACCACAGCCCCAGCACGACCACACCCCAGCGACCCACACCCAGCACGACGACACACCCCAGCACGACCTCACCACAGCACGACCACACCCCAGCACGACCACGCCCCAGCACGACCACGCCCCAGCACGACCACGCCCCAGCACGACCACCCCCCAGCACGACCACCACCCAGCACGACCACGCCCCAGCACGACCACCCCCCAGCACGACCACCCCCAGCACGACCACGCCCCAGCACGACCACACCTAGCACGACCACACCTAGTCGCACCCCCGTGGAATGTTTCGTGGGGTGTCTGGTTGAGTGGTTGCCTGTTCGTGGGGTGTCTCGTGGAGTGTTTCACGGGGTGTCTCGTGGAATGTTTCGTGAGGTGTCTCGTGGAATGTTTCGTCAGGTGTCTCGTGGGATGTTTCGCGGAGTGTCTCGTGGGATGTTTCGTGAGGTGTCGCCCAGTTGGGTATCGTGAAAACGTGACCATGCTTCACATGTCTATATCCCTTTCCGGGTTCGTGGGTCCATCATGTTTACTCAGAGGCGCCGTTGTGGAGCGTGTTGAGAGATTGTTGGTGGCTTACATGTACACACATCGAAGGAGGAGGCCACTCCATAGTACGGCATTTTCGGGGGGAGATCGGGAGATAATGATAGACATAGGGAGAGAGAGAGAGAGAGAGAGAGAGAGAAAGAAAGAAAGAAAGAAAGAAAGAAAGAAAGAAATGCAGAACATCAGCAAAGGAGCATGCTGCATGTTTGTAGTGCTGGCTGTGCAAATTCACCACGCGCCCGTCCGACATGTATGGATGTATGGTACCAGTGCTTCCGGCAGGATGTCGGAGAAGCGGGGGGCGCTGCTGTCGACGGGGACGAGGCATCTTCCGCGAAGGCCGCGCTTGCATTGGCTCAGCTCGTCGCGCGCCTGTGGCCTGGATTCAGCACAAGTGCTTGGCTCTGCAGTACGACAGTATGGGGGGGGGGGCGGGCGAGGTGGTCCCCAGAAATTCCCAGAGGTCGCCGGAAGTCTCCAGAGATCCCCGTTTCGGGCGGGCGGCCACGGGAGGTGGCAGACGTAGAAGGATCGGGAGTTGCAGGACAGCGGCCCTGAACGGGCTCTGATAAAGTGTAAGGCGGGGGTGTCCCTCTACAGGAGGAATCCAAGTATAATAAAAACATAGTCTGGGGAAGATTGTTTGCGTATGTTTGGGTATGTTTGGATTTGTTTGTTGTTCCTGGAAATGGCGCCGTCCCAGGGTTCTCCTTTAGCTGTTTGCCCCCGGAATCGACGGGAAGAGGGCCAGAGGAATTATTCTACGATAAATTACGTGCGGGAAGAGGGCCGGCGGCATTATTTTTCCCGGAAAGGGCATGAGCCCAGGGTTCTCTTTTAGTGGGTAAACCTGTCCCCCGGTGCCAACTTGAAGGAGGCCGGCGAATTTTTTCCCTGATAAATATCGAGGTCGAAGGAGGCCGGCGAATTAAAATTTGAGGATGTCTCGAGCGAAACGCTTGTTTTTGAAATCCCGATCGATAAATCACAGGGTGCGGGCCACTTTTTCGTGTGTTGAGGATGTCTCGAGCGAAACGCTTGCTCCGCAGAGTTTGCCGAGGATGTCTCGAGCGAAAAGCTTGTTTTGCAGAGCCGACCGCGACGAGGAAAAGCGCCCCGCGCAAAGGAATTTCGATGATGTCTCGACTAATTCGTTTGTTTTTGTACGATTTCCTGGAATTTTGGCAGGATGTCTCGAGCGAAATGCACGACCCCACCCTAGCACGACCATACCCCAGCACGACCACACCCCAGCACGACCAGACCCCAGCACGACCCCACCCCAGCACGACCCCACCCCAGCACGACCATACCCCAGCACGACCACACCCCAGCACGACCCGACCCCAGCACGACCCTACCCCAGCAAGACCACACCCCAGCACGACCACACCCCAGCACGACCTCACCACAGCACGACCACACCCCAGCACGACCACGCCCCAGCACGACCACGCCCCAGCACGACCACGCCCCAGCACGACCACCCCCCAGCACGACCACCCCCCCAGCACGACCACCCCCCAGCACGACCACCCCCCAGCACGACCACACCCCAGCACGACCACTCCCCAGCACGACCACACCGCACCTGTCGGTGGAATGTTTCGTGGGGTGTCTCGTGGAATGTTTCACGGGGTGTCTCGTGGAATGTTTCGTGAGGTGTCTCGTGGAATGTTTCGTGAGGTGTCTCGTGGGATGTTTCGCGGGGTGTCTCGTGGGATGTTTCGTGAGATGTCGCCCAGTTGGGTATCGTGAAAACGTGACCATGCTGCACATGTCTTTATCCCTTTCCGGGTTCGTGGGTCCATCATGTTGAGGATGTCTCGAGCGAAACGCTTGTTTTCCATAATTGGTTGAGGATGTCTCGAGCGAAACGCTGGTTTTGCAGAGTTGGGGATGTCTCGAGCGAAACGCTTGTTTTCAGAATTTGTTGAGGATGTCTCGAGCGAAACGCTGGTTTTGCAGAGCCGACCGCGACGCGGAAAAGCGCCCCGCGCGCATGAATTCCAGGGATGTCTCGCGCGTGCCGCGTCCCGCGCGCAGGAATTTTGAGGATGTCTCGACTAATTCGTTTGTTCCCGGAAAGGGCTGAAGCCCAGGGTTCTCTTTTAGCCGTTTACCTCCGGAATCGACAGGAAGAGGGCCGGCGGAATTATTCTGCGATAAATTACGTCCGGGAATAGGGCCGGCGGCATTATTTTTGAGGATGTCTCGAGCGAAACGCTTGTTTTTCATAATTGGTTGAGGATGTCTCGAGCGAAACGCTGGTTTTGCAGAGTTGTGGATGGCTCGAGCGAAACGCTTGTTTTCAGAATTTGTTGAGGATGTCTCGAGCGAAACGCTGGTTTTGCAGAGCCGACCGCGACGCGGAAAAGCGCCCCGCGTAGGAATTCCGAGGATTTCTCGCGCGTGCCGCGTCCCGCGCGCAGGAATTTTGAGGATGTCCTGACTAATTCGTCTGTTTTTCTAGGATTTCCGTGATTTTTGAGGATGTCTTGAGCGAAACGGTTGTGTTTCAGAATGGGTTGAGGATGTCTCGAGCGAAACGCTTGTTTTTTCAGAATTTGTTGAGGATGTCTCGAGCGAAACGCTGGCTTTGCAGAGTTGGGGTATCTAACATGGCGTCGGGCCCAACGCCGAATTAGAAGGAAACGCACGGGGGGCCGAAAAGCGCTACCCGAACACATGTCCCAATACAGAAAAGTGATGGTTTCTTGCTCTGAACAGGGGGTTGCGCTTTGGAGCCTCTCCAGGGAAGACGTAGCGAGGATGTCTCGAGCGGGAGCGCGAATTCAGCGTATCCAGGTCACGCAGGGGGGTATCTAACATGGCTGTCCCGAGCTGGAACCACGTGTTTTTTCATGCTCAGGCCACCCAGGGAGATCTCTAAGATGATTGTCCCGAGCTGGAACCACGTGTTTTTACGTGTCCAGGCCACCCAGGGAGATCTCTAAGATGATTGTCCCGAGCTGGCACTGTGTTTTTACGTGTCCAGGCCACCAACACGACGCTTCACCCCAGCACGTTCTGTAGCGCGTCCCCTTGGCACGTCCCGCGGTGCGTCCCCGTGGCACGTCCCCTGGCACGTCGCCTGGCGCGTCCCTTGGAACGTTCCGCGGCGCGTCTTCCTGGCATGTTTCCTTGTCAATTAGCTCTGGGGCAGCTACTACGTGGACTATGTGCTCAGGCAGCTCGAGCTTAAGATCCAGATCAGTTCGGTTAGGACTCGGATGCAAAGGAGGACTCGATCCACGAGGCTATAGAGCACAATCGCGGCATGGCACATCGCAGTTCAGCACGGCGCAGCACAGCACAGCCTTCGGCACGGTACATCAAGATCGATACACTCACTCAGCATTGCAATTTGGCACGTTCTTTGGCACGTTCCGTGGCGCGTCCTGTGGCGAGTCCCCTTGGCACGTCGCGGCGCGTCCCCTGGCACGTCCCGTGGCACGTCCATTGGCACGTTCCGTAGCGCGTCCCCTTCACACGTCCCGCGGTGCATCCCCATGGCACGTTCCCTGGCACGTCGCCTGGCGCGTCCCTCGGAACTTTTGGCGGCGCGTCTTCTTAGCATGCCCCCCCGTGAATTAGCTCCTGGGCAGCTACTATGTGCTCAGACAGCTCGAGCTTAAGATCCAGATCAGTTCGGTCAGCACTCGGATGCAAAGGAGGACTCGATCCACGAGGCTATAGAGCACAATCGTCACGTGGCACATCGCAGTTCAGCACGGCGCAGCACAGCACTGCCTTCGGCACGGTACATCAAGATCGATACATTCAGCATTGCAACGTGGCAAGTTCTTTGGCACGTTCCGTGGCGGGTCCTGTGGCGAGTCCTTCTGGCACGTCGCGCGGCGCGTCCCCTGGCACGTCCCGTGGCACGTCCATTGGCAAGCTCCGTAGCGCGTCCCCTTCGCACGTCCCGCGGTGCGTCCCCGTGGCACGTCCCCTGGCACCTCGCTTGGTGCGTACCTTGGCACGTCTCGTGGCACGTCCATTGGCACGTTCCGTAGCGCGTCCCCTTGGCACGTCCCGCGGTGCGTCCCCATGGCACGCCCCTTGGCACGTCGCCTGACGCGTCCCTTGGAACTTTCGGCGGCGCGTTTTCCTAGCATGCCCCCCCGTGAATTAGCTCTTGGGCAGCTACTATGTGCTCAGGCAGCTCGAGCTTAAGATCGAGATCAGTTTGGTCAGGACTCGGATGCAAAGGAGGACTCGATCCACAACGCTATAGAGCACAATCGTCACGTGGTACATCGCAATTCAGCACGGCGCAGCGCACCACAGCCCTCGGCACGGTACATCAAGATCGATACATTAAGCATTGCATTTGCTCGTCGCCCAATCAAGTGTCTTTGAAACGTTGCCAAGTCTTACATTTCTATATTCCTTTCCGGGTTCGTGGGTCGATGTGTGGTGCTGTTGGTGGTGGTGGTGGTGCTGGGTTGAGGCGGTGGTGGTGGTGGTGGTAGTGACGGTAATCGTCGCTGCGGCCCCGCCGTCGACGGCGCCAGCGCCGGCGCTGCTGGCTGGCGCCGGCGCCGGCGCCGAGGGGGGGGTTTGAACCTTTCCCCCCGCTTGGGGGGGGGGAAGGGGGGGGGGTTTGAACTCCCCCCTTTCCCCCCCCCTCCTGGGCTGCCTCTGGTCATCGTCGCTGCGTCCCCGCCGTGGGCGCTGCTGGCGGCCGCCAGCGCCGGCGCCAGCGCCGAGGGGGGGGGTTTGGGGGGGAGGGGAAACCCCCTGGTTTTGATCGACGGCGCCGAGTGTTGGGGGGGGGTCACCCCCCGGTGTGAAACGCGCTGCCGAATGTCCCCAAGGCAAGCGCCCGTGAAACGCGTTCTCTCCAAGAAGCCTTCCCCCCTCCCCTGCCCCCTTGTGCGCGCCGCCAACCCATCCCCATCTCGATCCCCGCCATCCCACCATTGATCGCGCATCGCAGGGCGCGATGCACGAAGTTAATTAGGCGGCCTGGATGGTACGTGACAGTCCCAAGGTTTCCGTCGCCATTTGGGCTCAAGCTGGTTGGCTAAAACCAGGTTGGCATCAGACGTCTTGTCTCATATTGTGGGGTGGGCAATCGAGCAGTTTGGCCTGGTGCTCTCCAACTGCGAGTAGCATTGAACCCCCTGGAGGATGACATCCTCGCAGCTCTCGCCAAGGACTGTGACGACTCACCAGGCACCCCATGAGCTTTTAATCGAATTGAACAGTAAGCTGGCGGAGGAATGCGAATATCATCAAGCGTTAACCAAGAGGTTGATGAACGATAACCGCATGGCTGTCCAGTCCCAGGTGGACGAGATGCGTCGGACGTTCCAGGACATGTTCGACGACCACCGCAAGAGCACGGAGCTCGTGGTGCAGGAACACCGCAGGATGTCCGAGCAGCAGCGCCGAGAAGTGTTCCAGAAGTGTCAGCAGCTGGGGACGCAGCTGGAGCGGACCATGGCGGAGGAGAGAGTCGCCGTGCAGGGCGCCCTGCAGGCACTTGCTCAGCTGCTGGAGCGCGAGCGCGCTCAGAGACGCGCAGACCTGCAGCACGTCATGGCCGCGCTCCAGGATCCTCCTCCTCCTTCTCCTCCTCCTGCTCCTGCTCCTCCTCCTCCTCCGCCCCCCGCCAGCAGGACCGCCGACGGCGAGGCGCCCGTCGCTACCCCAGGGCGGCTGGACGCCGCCCTGGGGGCCCTCCGCCCGGAGCTCTGGCAGCAGCTGGACCCCGCCTCGCAGCGCGGAGCTCCGACACGTCCTGCTCCCGTCGTGTGCCCGCCCGGTGCACGGGAGAGCCCGGCCCTCAAGCCGGGCGGACCTCCCAGGGAGTTCAGCCCGCGAGCCTACCACGAGGTCGTCACCGTCGAGGGCGACGGGGTGGCGGCGGGGACCGGGCCGTCGTGGCAGCGCGCTGGCCCGGCGGGGCGGAGTGCCAGGAGGCCGGTGGCGAGGAAGTCGAGGTGTGCGACGGGGAGGAGGAGGTCGCCTTCGTTGGGAGCATATGGGACGCCGCGGTGTTCATCGGGTGCCCGCAGGTGGGCGCATGCGCATTTGCGTTCACGGCGCTCATGCTCCTGGTCAATATCGGGATGCAGGCGCTGTTTTGCCTGATTGTCAACGACAACCTGACTCAGTCTGCACTGCATTCTGAAATTCAGACACGGTTCAGGATTTCAAAGATTGGCGGACGACAATAGCGCACAACGTGAAGTTTGTAGATTCCCTCACTCACCGATCTCTGGCAAGGAAGGTGTTGTGCAGCTTCAGGGATGCCCCACTATCTTCTGGACCAATCGCTGGGCTCGCGGCGATTAGCCAGTACAGTCCTCTTGAAGAGAGAAGCAGTATCACGACACGCCCCGGCTCGCATATTGGTTCCCGCTCGCTTATCACAAAAATGTAATGAGCGTCGGCGAGTTGATGTGTCTCGTCTCGGTTGTCCTCTGGCGGTGTGCAGTCCTGAAAGGGACATACTCCATTGTCGGCCTGTGGCAGGCGCTTTTCTGTCTCCCGTCCCGCCCAACGGAGATATACAGCACGTCGGGCGGATACGCACTGGTGGCGGTGTCACTCCCGCGCAGAGCCGTGTTCTGCGCCGTGATTTTGTCGTGCGGTCCATGGTGTGCTATTCCCTGGCCGTGTGCGGCACGCTCTACCTAGCGGCCACGCTCTCGCTCGGCGACCTGCTGCTGAACGCCCTGGCACTGGAGGTCGTTCTCTCCCTGGACGAGCTCACGTTCGATGCCTTGTCTCCCCGCTCCGTCCGGCTGCTGATCTTGTCCATGGCCCCCCTTGCGAAGCCCCGCAGCCGCGCGTGGCGCGGGTTGGACGGCAGGCCTGTCCTCGCGCTCGCTGTCATGGGCGTCTCGATGTCCTGCCTTTTTCCCGGAAAGGGCATGAGCCCAGGGTTCTCTTTTAGTGGGTAAACCTGTCCCCCGGTGCCAACTTGAAGGAGGCCGGCGAATTTTTTCCCTGATAAATATCGAGGTCGAAGGAGGCCGGCGAATTAAAATTTGAGGATGTCTCGAGCGAAACGCTTGTTTTTGAAATCCCGATCGATAAATCACAGGGTGCGGGCCACTTTTTCGTGCGTTGAGGATGTCTCGAGCGAAACGCTTGCTCCGCAGAGTTTGCCGAGGATGTCTCGAGCGAAACGCTTGTTTTGCAGAGCCGACCGCGACGCGGAAAAGCGCCCCGCGCGAAGGAATTTCGATGATGTCTCGACTAATTCCTTTGTTTTTGTACGATTTCCTGGAATTTTGGCAGGATGTCTCGAGCGAAATGCACGACCCCACCCTAGCACGACCATACCCCAGCACGACCACACCCCAGCACGACCAGACCCCAGCACGACCCCACCCCAGCACGACCCCACCCCAGCACGACCATACCCCAGCACGACCACACCCCAGCACGACCCGACCCCAGCACGACCCTACCCCAGCAAGACCACACCCCAGCACGACCACACCCCAGCACGACCTCACCACAGCACGACCACACCCCAGCACGACCACGCCCCAGCACGACCACGCCCCAGCACGACCACGCCCCAGCACGACCACCCCCCAGCACGACCACCCCCCCAGCACGACCACCCCCGAGCACGACCACCCCCCAGCACGACCACCCCCCAGCACGACCACTCCCCAGCACGACCACACCCCAGCACGACCACACCCCAGCACGACCACACCCCAGCACGACCACACCCCAGCACGACCACACCCCAGCACGACCCGATCGATAAATCACAGGGTGCGGAGCACCCCAGCACGAACCCACCCCAGCACGACCCCACCCCAGCACGACCCCACCCCAGCACGACCACGCCCCAGCATGACCACACCCCAGCACGACCACACCCCAGCACGACCACTCCCCAGCACGACCCCACCCCAGCACGACCCCACCCTAGCACGACCACACCCCAGCACGACCACACCCCAGCACGACCCCACCCCAGCACGATCACACCCCAGCACGACCCCACCCCAGCAAGACCACACCCCAGCACGACCGCACCCCAGCACGACCTTACCACAGCACGACCACACCCCAGCACGACCACGCCCCAGCACGACCACGCCCCAGCACGACCACGCCCCAGCACGACCACGCCCCAGCACGACCACGCCCCAGCACGACCACGCCCCAGCACGACCACCCCCCAGCACGACCACCCCCCCAGCACGACCACCCCCCAGCACGACCACCCCCCAGCACGACCACACCCCAGCACGACCACTCCCCAGCACGACCACACCGCCTTGGTTGAGTGGTTGCCTGTCGTCGTGGAATGTTTCGTGGGGTGTCTCGTGGAATGTTTCGCGGGGTGTCTCGTGAAATGTTTCGTGAGGTGTCTCGTGGAATGTTTCGTGAGGTGTCTCGTGGGCTGTTTCGTGAGGTGTCTCGTGGGATGTTTCGTGAGGTGTTGCCCAGTTGGGTATCATGAAAACGTGTCCATGCTCCACATGTCTATATCCCTTTCCGGGTTCGTGGGTCCATCATGTTTGGTTCATCCTGCGCGATCAGTCTACCATGCTCGAGGCTGCACGGCACGAGCTCTGCGGCGGGAATTTGGACTTCGTCGCCGGCGTCACCAGCACCAGTTTGGTGGCCGCCTTCAGTCCCGGGGCCAATTACCACGAGGCGGTATCGGACACGGAGTTCCTGAACGCCCAGAACGAGTACCGCGCGTTCCGGGGTCTGATTGAAAATGACAACGATGCGATGACGACCGTGTCCGAACGTTTCAAGCATAGCCGGCAGACGGCGGACGGCTTCTAAGGCAGCCGGTTCACGGTGGAGGGCAGGGTTACGCAGGACGTGGAAGATTCTACCATCGAGTTGGATGTGCTATGCATTGACCTGGACTACCCGGGCTCCGAGATCTGGGCGGCCCTCGCGGACGTACCCGATTCCATCGAGTTCGCGAGAATTCAGGGAAGCGAGAACGATTTCGGGGACGATCCCAGGGAGCGAGAGGGGCCCTTCCGTTCTTGCGCGGACGTGCAGCCCGTGTGCGGCGAGGAGAGCACCCTCGGCACCCGTGCCAGGCAGTTCTGCCCCGAGACCTGCGGCTGCGACCACCCTGCCAGCGCCGTCCTTCTCTTCACCCCTGAGCACGGCTGCCCCCGCTCCTGCACCAGCGGGGAGCGGTGGATGCAGAAGCTTCGCGAGCTCACCTGTTCGGACTGGACCCCGGAGCAGCCGCGGGTCTACAATGGGACGGGTCGGTACCAGGGGGCCGACATGCTGCAAACCTACGCGTCGGATATGCGACTAACAGGCTTCAGGAGGCAAAAAAAACACACAGACACAATTAATCGTCGATCCCCCAGAAAGCATGGGAACATATGGCAAGCGGGAGGGAAGACGCAAACCCCGAAAATATGTGGACAAATGGAGAATCCTGTTATCTGTGTCTATTTATTTGTGTGTCCCAGGGCCCCTTCAAGGCTGGCCGCCAGAGCTCGTGGCAGCTGTGACAGAGAAGATGTTCAACACCATGCACGGCATCGGTTGCGCTGGAGCTGTCGCGGCCATGGTAGCCTACGATCCGTTGGATCTCGATCCGTGGCAGTACGGGAACATGTGCGAGGAGACCAGCGTGTACGGTTTCCGGCCAATATCGGCCATCTGCCCAGTTGCTTGCGGTTGCCGAGAGACGCACGCGTTGCTCTGCCCGGCCACTTGCTAGTTTCAGGACGCACTGAAGGAGGAGGTGTGGTTTCCAGGAGTTCCAGGATTTACCGACGTCCTGGACGCGCTCTAGAAGCGAGAGCTGCCAGACAGGGTATCGTTGAATTTATCCCCATCCCCACCGTGCCATGGTATCCCGATCCCCATCATTCCAACATCCCATTTGCGGATATGCCCCTCGAAATTCTAAGGGATCAGCCTGTATCTGCATCCAGGGGGGTAAATCTGCCAGTGGTGCCCAGGCCACGCCAGTGGGGTAGGGTCAGCTAAACAATGCTCAGATTGGGTCGGAGGATCGCGCCGCATCGCCGATGCTTCGGCGAGGCGGCTCGATGTGGAGCCCGATTTTATCCGCGCCGACGTCGCCGATGCACCGCCGATGCATCGACGTTTCATCGGCGAAGGAGGAATATTCAAAAATAGTCAAAAAGTAGTCTGGGGACGATTTGTTCAGCATTGTTTGACAATGTTGGGGGTATTGTTTGACTATTTTTGTAACTTTTTCGTCCAAAATCCCCCTGTAGGAGGATAGGCCCAACTTAAGTCTGCTCCGACCTCCGACTCCAGGAGTCAGAGGAGGAAACTTCTTATGGATACTGTTGCCCTTGCCTCGTGTTCGCTTTTGGGGGGCCTTCTGGGGGGGGGGCCCTCGTCGCCGCGGCTGGCTGGATTCGCCTCGAGAGTCTGGTCAGAACGCACCCCCGAAGAGGTCCAGGGAGTAGCGGTATCGGTACTTTCGGATTCCACTCTCGGGAGGTGAAGATCTGATTCTGCCCTGGTCCGAAGTCCGGCTCTATCCCGCTCGATCCGGCTCAATCCCGCTCAATCCCGCCTAATCCGGCTGAATCCGAGGCCCACTCCGGCGTAACAGCCCCCCAATGGGGCTCAATCCTTCTTAATCCTTCGGCGAAAGCCTCCCAGTAGGTGCCTCCTAAGGTACCATCCAGTTGCTGACCTTGAGATTGGCGCGTTGCATGTTCTGTTGCACCAGGCGTTTTCGCTTGGTTTCGGGCCCTGGGGCCATCACGGAATGGTGCGGCTCGAAAGGTGTCGCGGAAAGATGGGGTCCAGGGTCCAGGTTTCTGGGCGTGAGTTTTCGCGATGTTGCAATTTCTTGTGACGTCGGATCTCAGGATTCGCTGAGAAGTGTCGCTTGCCCAGGGTGCCCAAAGCTTTTCTCCATCTTCTTTGGACAACCGAACTGGGTATGAAAATTACCCCAGTGCGACCCTACCTAGAAGTTGGAGCCCCTAGGAAAGCAGCATGAATTGCTATGTTATGCTTTGCTATGCCATGCCATGCTATGCAGCGCTATGTTATGCCATGCTATGCTATGCTATGCTATGCTGCGCTATGCTATGATATGATATGCTATGATATGCTATGCTATGATATGTTATGATGTGCTGTGCTATGCTAAGCTATGATATGATATGCCATGCTAAGCTGCGCTATGCTATGATAAGCTATGCTATGTTATGTTATGCGGCGCTAGTATATGCTCTGATATGCCATGCTATGCTATGCTGCGCGGTGCTATGCTGTGCTGTACTGTGCTGCGCTGTGTTATGCTATGCTATGCTGCGCTATGCTATGCTTTGCTATGCTGGACTATGCTATGATATGCTGTGCTGCGCTATGCTATGTTACGCTCTGCTACGCTCTGCTGTGCTCTGCTATGCTAAAGCTCGGCGAAGCTAAGGTGAAGGTAAGCTAAGCTAAGAGTGGCGCAGATCGACCCACGAACCCGGAAAGGAATATAGAAATGTGAGACTTGGCAACGTTTCAAAGACACTTGATTGGGCGACGGGCAAATGCGATGCTTAGTGTATCGATCTTGATGTACCGTGTCGAGGGCTGTGCTGTGCTGCGCCGTGCTGCATTGCGATGTGCCACGTGACGATTGTGCTGTATAGCGTTGTGGATCGAGTCCTCCTTTGCATCTGAGTCCTGACCGAACTGATCTGGATCTTAAGCTCGAGCTGTCTGAGCACATAGAAGCCGCCCAAGAGCTAATTCACGGGGGGGGGCATGCTAGGAAGACGCGCCGCCGAAAGTTCCAAGGGACGCGTCAGGCGACGTGCCAGGGGACGTGCCATGGGGACGCACCGCGGGACGTGCCGAGGGGACGCGCTACGGAACGTGCCAATGGACGTGCCACGGGACGTGCCAAGGTACGCACCAAGCGAGGTGCCAGGGGACGTGCCACGGGGACGCATCGCGGGACGTGCCAAGGGGACGCGCTACGGAACGTGCCAATGGACGTGCCACGGGACGTGCCAGGGGACGCGCCGCGCGACGTGCCAGGGGGCCAAGTTGCAATGCTGAATGTATCGATCTTGATGTACCGTGCCGAAGGCAGTGCTGTGCTGCGCCGTGCTGAATTGCGATGTGCCACGTGACGAGTGTGCTCTATAGCGTTGTGGATCGAGTCCTCATTTGCATCCGAGTCCTGACCGAACTGATCTGGATCTTAAGCTCGAGCTGCCTGAGCACATAGTAGCTGCCCAAGAGCTAATTCACGGGGGGGGGCATGCTAAGAAGACGCGCCGCCAAAAGCTCCGAGGGACGCGCCAGCCCCCGATCCCGTTTGATCCGGCTGAATCCCGCTTAATCCCGCTGGCTTCATCCGAGGCCCTCTCCCGCGTAACAGCCCCCAGTGGGGCTTAATCTTCTTTAATCCTTCCGACGAAAAGCTCCCAGTAGTTGCCTCCTAACCCCGATCCGCCTCGCCCGCCCTGCTGGCGCCTCGCCCCCGGCCGCCGCAGGCGCAGGCGGGGCAGCGGCCGCAGAAGAAGCCGACGCGGGCGCAGCGGAGTGCCGCCCCGCGCTGGGGGGGGGGGCGTCTGGCACATCGCTCGAGGGGTCTGGGGAATCTCCTGGGGGTAGGCTCAGGTCGGGCATGTCCCCCTGCAGGGGTGTTTTCGATGGAAAATAATACACACCCCAAAAATATTCCAAAACGGTCAAAAATAGTAAAAACATCGTCCCCGGACTAGTTCCCGGAAAGGGCTCGGGCCCAGGGTTCTCTTTTAGTGTGTTTACCCCCGGTTCTGACGGCTGTAGGGCCGGCGAATTTATTTTGTGATAAATAACGAGGTCGCGTAGGGCAGGCAAAGTTATGTTCGAGGATGTCTCGAGTGAAACGTTTGTTTTTCAGAATTGGTTGAGGATGTCTCGAGCGAAACGCTTGTTTTGTGTTATAGTTTGTCCTCTCCTGGGGACCTGAATTCAGAGGATCGCTGAAGTGAAATGCTTGTTTTCACGTGCCCAGGTCTTCAGGATGTCCCGAGCGAGACGCTTGGTTTCACGCCTCCAGGTTGCCCAGACAGATGTCTAGCATGAGGATTTGTTGAGGTTGTCTCGAACAAGAGGCTTGTTTTCACGTGTCCAGGTCGCCCAGGTGGATGTCTAGCATGAGGATGTGTCGAGGAAGCCTCGATCGAGACGCTTGTTTGCACGTGTCCAGGTTGCCCAGGCGGATGTCTAGCATGAGGATGTGCTGAGCACGTCTTGAGCGGAGCGCGTGTTTTCACGTGTCCAGGTCGCTCAGGCGGATGTCTAGCATGAGGGTTTTGACAGGATGTCTCGAGCAAAACGCTTGTCCCCAGCACGTTTCGTAGCGCGTCCCCTTGGCACGTCCCGCGGTGCGTGCCCATGGCACGTCCCCTGGCACGTCGCTTGGCGCGTCCCTTGGGACGTTCCGCGGCGCGTCCTCCTGGCATGTCCCCCTGTCGATTAGTTCTGGGGCAGCTACCGTCTGCTCAGGACTCGATCCACAACGCTATACAGAGCACAATCGCGGCATGGCACATCGCAGTTCAGCACGGCCCAGCACAGCACAGCCGTCGGCACGGTACATCAAGATCGATATGTTCAGCATTGCACCTTGGCACGTTCCGTGGGGCGTCCCGTGGCGCGTCCTCCTGGCACGTCGCGCGGCGCGTCCCCTGGCACGTCGCGCGGCGCGTCCCCTGGCACGTCCCGTAGCGCGTCCCCTTGGCACGTCCCGCGGTGCGACCCCATGGCACGTCCCCTGGCACGTCGCCTGGCGCGTCCCTTGGGACGTTTCTCGGCCCGTCCTCCTGGCATGCCCCCTTGTCAATTAGCTCTTGGGCAGCTACTATGTGTTCAGGCAGCGCGAGCTTAAGATCCAGATCCGTTCGGTCAGGACTCGGATGCAAAGGAGGACTCGATCCACGACGCTGTGGAGCACAATCGCAGCATGGCACATCGCAATGCAGCACGGTGCAGCACAGCACAGTCCTCGGCAGGGTACATCAAGATCGATCATTCAGCGTTGCATTTGCCCGTCACCCAATCAGGTGTCTTTGAAAACGTTGCCATGCGTTACATTTCTATATTCCTTTCCGAGTTCGTGGGTCGATCATGTTTTTTTACAAGGGATGGTGGGGGGGTGCCCGAATGGATCTGGGTTGGCTTCCAGTCGCCTGGGGGAGGGGTGTAAATTTATAGGGAACAGTGATAAACCCCTCCCCGAAAGGGAAGAGGGTTCTTGTGGAAGAGGAAAGAAAAACATCGTTAGACCAGCCACGCCCAGAGGGCTGGTGGGATTAAAAGGGCGAGGAAGGGAACGACAGAAGGAGGAAGGATTTGCACATGCGTTGCTGCTCATGGAGGGGTTGTATGTGGTTGCTCGCAAAGGGGGAGGGGGACAGAGGAGGAGGGGGATGAGGAGGGCGACAAGGGAGGAGGAGGAGGAGGAGGAGGAGGAGGAGGAGGAGGAGGAGGAGGAAGATGAGGAGGATGAGGAGGGGCAGGGGGAAGGGGAAGTGTCCTGCCCCACGCCTGCCGCGCAGGAACGCAATCTGTTTCCGCTACTTCCGGGGCTCCTGCGCCTCCGCCCGCCAGGGGAACTCCGCATGGCCTTGCCCCCCCCCCTTCCTGATCCTTTTCCTCCACATCCCCCTCCTCACCTCCTCCTCCTCCTCCTCCTCCTCCTCTTCCTTGTCATTTTCCTCCTGGTCATCTCGTCGCCCTGGGGTCCCAGTGACGCGCCCGGGGGGGGGCATCGGATGGCCTCGGACAGCCTGCCCTCGGATCCAGCCGACTCGAAGCGGGCGACGGCCGAAGTTTGGGTTGTGGACGTCGATCAATGGAGAGGAAGCATGTTGCCGCATAATTTCCAGATGTCTAACTTGGTTCAAACTTTTTTAATATGTAAAACATGTTTGGAACATTTTCAGAACATGTTGCACACACTTTCAACACATTCTTGATTCAGTGATCGGGTTGTTAGAGTGTCCGTTGTCAGGGTATCCACAACCTTTTGGGGGGGCATTCCCTGGCCCCAGGACCATCGAGAGCGACTCCGTGTGAAGAGCTGGTCTCCGGGAGGAGGTCGAGATCCCCAGGGGCCCACGTCGCGGAATTGAGGCGTCGTCGCCGAAGGGGGGTGGCAGAGGCCTCGGGCCCACCCGACTGCCTGCTGAAGAAGCGCGCGAGCAGCACGGGAAACGCGTGCGCTGCTGGCTCGGCCCCTGGAGCAACGGGGAGAGAGAGAGAAAGAAAGAGAGAGAGAGAGAGAGTCTCGAGCGAGACAAATACGCGTCCCCTTACCTCGGGGTGGCAAGGGGCGGGGCGGGGTCGACTCGTCGCAGCTGACGCCGGCTGGACAAGTGTAGATGCGGCAGCCGATTGAACATGACAGGATGCTGTATTCTCCAGGCACATGGTGGCATCGATTGCGCGTGCGTTCGAATCGGCGGAGTGGCCGACTCCGATTTGGTCCGAACTAGACCAGTTAGTTCGGAGGAGCGCCTCCAGAGGCACATATCCAGTCGTTGGGGGGTCGACGCGCCCTCGGAGGCGCATGCGAGCAATTCTGGCGCGAACGTCGATGCGCGACAACCGCCCAATCGTGAGTTGCTCGATGCAGAGGCTTCGATAACTTAGAACGCTGGGCGAGGTCCTCAGAGGCCGCGCCCCCCTTGGACGGCCCTCCGAGAATCACCCCAGCTTGGTCTGAGCATGCAATGAAAACTCAGAAACATACCCCTACCTGGCCAAGGTGTCCGCAAACCGCCCCAGCTAGGTAAGGTTATGTTTGCTGTGTTCAGGCGCATCTGGCCGTGGTGGCGGCACGCCCAAAAATGCTCTCGAGCAATTCTCATGCCCCCCAGAGCCGTCCCCGACACGGCCGCTGCGGCCCCCTGGGGGCCCTGGGAGGGCGACGTTGCAACGTTGCTCCTCAGCGCAAGCGGCGACGCATTGGTTGCCAGGATAGCGAGGAGATGCAGTTTCTCACAAGATAGGACCGGCGCCACCACTCTATGCAGCTTTGAGCCTTAGACTCGCCACCCAGTCGTCCCGAACACAAATCAGCGCTTGTTGCTGCAACCGGACAGCCAACCATTGAACGCGCCGTTGCTTCTCGATGCGCAGATGCTGCACTTGCGCGCGGGGCAAGCTGATCGGGCACAATGGCAAGGCAAGCGCCCAATCCCGTGGGCGTCTCATCTCCCCCTGGCTGGCCTCGGCAACCGCTTTGGCAGGTGACGGGAGGAAAGGGAGGAGGAGGAGGCGGTCGGGGGAAGGATAACAAACACCTCGCGTATGATTGCATGCTGCTGCGTCGGATCCCTGAGTCACCAGGGTGGCCACACGATGATCGCTGTTCATGGCCTGGCGAAGAGGTTTGCTTAACTATGCGAAGCGGGGGCGAACACGCGAAACCGTGCTGCGCGCTTCGCGCGGCGCAAAGCGCGAGATCAGTTGGCGGGTGGATGAGGACAGAGTCATGAGCGGCGAACATGTCCATACCCGTCGGTGGTAGTGAAAGTAGGTATATTGCAATCTACTATAGGTGCCTCCGTACTTCAATCATCGGGTGGTAGTCCTTTCTCCTTCCTCTGCAGTGGGGGGCGGAAACCCTGTATGCTTTCAATTCCTTCCGACTTCATATTTACACCCACGTCTGCAGATCGATGTGTATCCATGCTTTGGCGGTGTGCATGACGATGCGCTATCTCATGAAGCCGCTTGGAGCATCTGGGCAACGCCGCCCTGTGTCCACGTGGTCGCAGCTGAGGAGGCCTGACCGCGAGGCTCAGAGTCTGGAGCCTTGCGGCCCCCTGCCGGCAGCCTGGATTCTCCTGCGTCGCAGCGCTCTAAAGTGCGGTGGCCTTCACTTACGTCTTCGGTCGTCGTTGTCCGCTGGCCTCCGGGTCGGACGCAAGACGGGATAATGAAAAAGAGGGGGATGCGACATCTTCTGCATGCAGTTGGTGTTGTCTCCGCCGCCAGGGGGTCTCCTCAAAACATTGGCGCCTCCGGCGTTGGGAAAATCAGCGACCTGACCAAGTTCGTTAACCCCTCCTTTCCCAACCCCCCTGACGTCCGATCCGATTCCTGGCAATCTCGGACCTCCCTGACCCCCAGCACCGCATACTGTCCCGAGCGGCCCAAAGAAACCCCGAGATAGTTAGCTCCAGGATAGCCCCAGAGCTCGGAGCCCATTGATGTTCGCTGTCGTTCGTCGTCCGCCTCCCTGGCCATCTCGCCCCAGGCCCCGCAGACGGGCCCCGAGCGGTCCGAGGAGACGCCAAGAGAGCCTCAGGAAAGATCCCCAAAAGACTTCCCCTCCGCGTCACCCTCGCATGAGCCAGGGCATGCGTGCCACTGGTTGATGTAGGCGTTGAGCGAGATCTATAATTCAGCTCACTGTCATGCGATGCCAGCATGGGCTGGCAGGTGGGGAAACCAGTAGTTTCGGTTCCAGGTTTCCACGGTTTGGCTTTGTTCATGTTCATTGAATTTCAGCGCGAGCCTGATGCCACGGAGTAACCATCGACAGGCAAGGCAGGCGATTCAAGACAATGCGGTAGCATTCGCAGTGATGTATGATGTTCTGTGTCTTCGCCTCGCACATTCTCCTCTCAGTGCTCCCTGAGTGTGGAGGCAAGTTCGACGACTGCAAGTTCCAGCACGTGGCCCCTGGCAGGCACCTCGCACCTCTTGCCTTTGGAGTGATTTGGGCAGCGCACTCTGACGCGCTATAGCTTCGGGACGTCGCCTGGGGGCCCCTGGGGGCCATAACCCCAACCGCAAAATTGCTGGACCGGCGTTCCTCGGGATCGTGGCCCGAGGAGCGCGGGCGCAGCCCGATTCCTAGGGGCCGCGGCCCTGGTGGCGCGGGTGCCCCCGTAACTTCGGGGAACCGTGGCCCTGGGAGCGTGAGTCCCGCGTAATTTGCAGAGGATCTTCGCCCGAGGGGCGCGAACCCAGAGTAATGTATGAGGGATCGTTGTCCTGGGAGCGAGAACCCAGCGTAATTTAAAAGGGGTCTTGGCCCTGGGAGCGCAGGAGCGAAGATCCTAGGAGGCTCCAGTTCTTTCCGCGGCGCGTCCCTGGGCGCGTCTCTGGCGAATCCCGTGGCACGTCCCATGGCACGCTCCCTGACGCGTTCCCTGGCACGTCCCGTGGCGCGTCGCCTGGCACGTTCCTTGGCACGTTCCGTGGCGCGTCCCGTGGCGCGTCCCCCTGGCACGTCGCGCGGCGCGTCCCCCTGGCACGTCGCGCGGCGCGTCTGCTGGCACGTTCCGTAGCGCGTCCCCTTGGCTTGTCCTGCGGTGCGCTCCCATGCCCTGGCGCGTCCTTTTTTGCACGTTCTGCGGCGCGTCCCCCTGGCAGGTCCCGCGGCGCGTCGCGTGTCTCGTCCCTTAGCGCGTCCCTTGGCACGACACTGTGCGGCACAGCACAGCGCAGCGGAGCAGCGCACAGCTCCTGGCACAGTATCATCACCATCGATATCTTCAGCATTGCCACTTCCCATCGCCCAATTGCAGGTGCAATCGAGGTCCTCACAGACGTTTCCATGCCTCGCAGTTTGCAATCCCTTTCCCGGGTGCGTGGGTCGATCATGTCTCTGAAATGCGGTTCGCGCGTGCCAGCTCGATGACAGTGTGTCCCCCCATCTCGGATCCTCGATTAATAATTGTGTTCGCAGACTCTCGGCTTTCGTTGCAAAAGCACAAACTACGAGCGGAACGCTTTGCGCAGTCCGTGATAAATATCGGGGTCTTGGGGCCGTAAAAAATTACAGCAAATTCGCAAATGTTTAATTGTTGCGCGCCCGCTGTATGATGGCGCGCCCTGCGCGAAGAAACTTTGAGGATGTCTCGAGCGAAGCGCTTGTTGTGCAAGACTTACGGGGCGTCGGTGCCCCAGGATGCTCAGGTGGTTTGGGGAATGCGGAAGCGCGACAAAACCCGTGGGCTCCTAACGCCCCATTGCGGGACAAGCTTGAACACATTTGGGTTCCTAACACACAAGAGCGAGACAGGCGTGACACCATGTTGGTTCTTGACGCCTCAGAGCGGACAATATTGAAACACGTGGGTTGCGAACGCTTCAGAGCTGGAAAAAAAAACGTACAAACAGTTGGGCTCCGAACGCCCCAGGGCGGGACAAGCGTGAAATCATGTAGGTTTCTAGCGCCCCAGGGCGGAACTGGTGTGACAACACGTGGGCTCCGAACGCTCCAGCGCGGGACACGCGTGAACACACGTGGGTTCCTGACCCCCTAGAGCGGGACAAACGAGAAAACACATGCGTTCCTAACGCCCCAGAGTGGGACAAACGTGAAAACACGTGGGTTCCGAACGCCCCATGGCAGGATAAGCGTGCCGTGCAATCATATGGGTTCCGAACGCCCCACAGCGGGACAAGCGTGAACACACGTAGGTTCCTAACGCCCCAGGGTGGTGCAAACGCATTTGGGTTCCCAAACGTCCCAGGACGTGACAAGCCTAAAAACGCGTTGGCTCCTCACGCCTCAGGATGGGACAAACGTTAAACACGTGAGTGCCCGACGCCTCAGAGCGGGGCCAGCGTGAATCCATACGAGGTCCTAACGCCCGCGAGGGGGGCAAGCGTAAAATAACGTGGGTTCTTAAGGCCCCAGTTCGAGACAAGCGTGAAAACACAAGGGTTCCCACCGCCCCAGAGCGGGATGAGCGTGAGCATTTGTAGGTTCCCAATGGTCCCGAGCGGGACACGCGTGAGAGCACACGGGTGTCTGACGCCCCAGCGCGGGACAAGCGGGACCACATGCGGGTCATTGGCGCCTCAGAGCGGGACTGGCGCGGAGACACATGGGTTCCCAGCGCCCCGTAGAGAGACACGCGTGACAATCAGTGGATTCTCAACGCTCCAGCGCGGGACAAGCGCGACGATACGTGGGTCCCAAACGCCCCAGAATGGGACAAACGTGACAACCAGACCACCACCACCACGACCACTACGACGACCCCCGCGGCTAGCGTCACGAGGGCGGCGGCGGCCGCGGGTGCGGCACCCGTGGCGGCGTGGCGGCCCGGGGCCCGTGGGGCCTTCCTCGGCCATCGTGGCAGCGACGTCATTTGCGCAGTATAGTGCGCACTCGGAAATTTCGGGCGCGTCGCATGCCGATCTCGCACGGCCCCGCGCCCGCCCGCAGATCTCGAGTCTATCCCCCCGAGGGCCCACCACCTCCTGCGCGACAGGGGCAACCTTCACCTGGGAAGGCAGTCCGTGGGTATCTCGGCTTCGCGGATTAGCGCAAGGCCTGCTGACAACGATTGCGCAGTCGGCTAGAACCCAAGCGTACGCCTAGCACGCGCGTCGCTGTATTCTTTACGGGGACAGGGCCGGTTTGGACGAGGCAGTGGGGCGGAACGATGCGGATGTGCATGTTTGCTGCCGGTAGTTCAAAGATGGTGTCCTGAGTGATGGGGACCTGAGCGCGAGGTCCCTCAGGCAACGTAGATGGCGGGTCCCCGGCAGCTGCGGGTGTGGATGCTTTCCCGGCGGTGCGCCCCTGTCGCGCGGGCCAGGATTTTGGGAGCAGGAAGCGTACCACCACCAACACCCCTTAGGAGGATTCTGGATGAGCTGGTGTGCGGGATACGGGTGTGCACGATATCCTGCGTGAGGGCCCGACATGGTGTGACATACATACACCGTCTCCACCCCGACGACCGTCTGCCTCCATCCTACAGGTGGTGGTGGTGTGTGCGTTCTTTTGTTCCCTAGGACCAGGACGCGTCGCTCAAAGCCCAGACATCTTCGCGTCGTACAAAAAATACGGCTGAAGGTTCTTGGCCGTTTTTCTGCCTCCGCAGGCTCTCGCTGGACCCCAGGACCAGAACAAAAATAATTCGGGATGACAGCTGGCTCTTGGGACAGAGTACCGAACAAAAGTCAAAATATCGCGTGTCCTTGACCGCTCCCAGAGCGTTCCAGAGCGCTCTAGAACAGCCTCGGCGTCCGACACATCTTCCAGAATCGGCGCATCTGACATATCCCCGACATGTCCCGGTCCCGCATTGTCCCCGTCCTGGCTTCGTTTTACAATGGATTAGTGGGGATTTGGGATGACCGCACGGGTTTGGAGTTCGCGCGCTCTCTGAGGACGTCTCGGGCGACTGGGGTCAGGGCCCAGATCCGCACGGTGACGAACTGTTCTGTGAGGTCTTTTGTGGATTCCAAGGCCTCCGCACGGTTTTCGAAGAAGTCATAATGGAAGTACATTTTTTCCGAGCTCCGCGCGGTTTTCTGGGATCGGCGCTGGACCCCTTTCCTTGGCGCGTGGAGCGCGCCAAGGGTGGCGCGGGAGGCGCCGCCAGGGGGGGGGCCCAGCGCCGATCCAAGAAATCCGTGCGGTGTTTCGAAAGTTTGTTGAGGCAGTCTTTTCTCCCACTTGGCATTGCTCGGGCGTGTGCAGTTCTCTCGGCGAGGCCGGCGCCAGAAAGTTTGGACCATCCAGGAGCAGTTTGGACCTTCTCGAGGCACACGGCGCGTACGCGACCAAACAGCACACAGGGACTGCACGCCCGATGGCAAGCCCAGGCCTGTCACCGCACCGTCTCGGGACCGCCAAGTGGATCCGCCCCCGCGCCGCGGCGGGGTGCCCCCCCGCCCCAAGGCTGACGCCCGATGAGCAGGCGCAAGTGCTGCGTGAGCTCCCGCTGCGGGACATCGGCGGCCGCCGGGCGCCGCCGCCACGTGGGCAGCGCCGCGCGCCGCCGTCGCGACCGTCGTCGGCGCTGTGTGGGCGACGTCGTGCCCTGAGATCCTGGCGTGGCAGTTTTTGTTCACAGCGTGCGTTGTCGCCGAGGTTCGGGCCTCGGGGCCCACGCAGATCGATCCGGCTCTACAGATGGCTCTGGGAGATGGGGTCTCGGGCTCCGGTGGTGATATCCAGTTGCATGTGGCTCGTCTCAACGCCGTGCCAGCCCAGCATTCTGGTTGGCGACTGTTCGAGGGGGCACGGAAGGCCGCCATCGTGTGACACCTCGTGTCCCCAGGTTTGGGGGAGCCGTGATGATGATGGTGAGGGTGGTGATGATGATGATGATGATGACGATGATGATGATGATGATGATGATGATGATGATGATGATGATGATGATGATGATGATGATGATGATGATGATGAGGATGAGGATGAGGATGAGGATGAGGATGAGGATGAGGATGAGGATGAGGATGAGGATGATGATGATGATGATGATGATGATGATGATGATGATGAATCTGTTAATGATGATGCAGACGTTGTTGTTCATGATGATGATGATGATGTTAATGATGATTATGATACTGAGGACGAGAATGATGATGATGAGGAGGAGGAGGGTTAGGATGAGTCGGGGAAACGTAAGACTCGAGTATGCCGGAACTCGTGTTTGCCGACGTTATTTGACAAGCTCGTCTTGGATTTGACGGTCCATTTGTCGTGGGATGTTAGCAGCGGGAGTTCGCGTCAAATTTCAGACTGTGTCTCGTCATTTTTGTGATGGCCCCGTCAGGACAACCCCAGTCCCCCTTACCCGAGTCTGACGTCCCCCGAATGAGGATCAGGATCAGGATCAGGATGAGGATGATGATAATGACGAGGATGATGCTGACGATGATGATGAGGAGCAGAGCAGAGCAGAATCTCATGGAGTCCCTGTCTGAACGCAGGCTAAACTACCTTGTTAATTCAGAATGTACTCTGAAAAGGTTCCTTCGAAACCCAACCATTTACGATGCGAGCCGAAACAGGGCTCACAGCCCGAACTGCACTGGCCTGGCGAGCACCCCCATGGGCACGCAACCCTCAGAGGGGGCCCTCGCGCCTGGGCACGACGAAGTCTGCCTCTCCCCCGCCCGCCCAAGCTCACCCCCCGCCTCCCCCGCCCAGAGTGTCTGCCTCTGCCTTGATCCAGCACTGCGACAGGTACTCCAGATTTCGTAATAAAACAAAGGGGGGTCTCATTTCGGGGGGGTCTTTTCCAGGCTATCTTGGAGGGCATGGGGGTCTGGGGACGATGTTTTGGAGGGTTCTCCCACGGGGGGGGGTCTGAAATGGCTTGTCTTGGAGGGTCCAGACCCCCTCCCTTTTATTACGAAATCTGGAGTACTGTTGGTGCCTCAGGCACCGCCACCAAACTTCAAGATCTCCCTTACGGACCCTGGAGACTATCAAAGCACGTTTCCGCGCAATCGGATGGAAACTATTGTAAAACGAGTCGGCGCAAGCTGGAAACGGTACGGAAACGGCCCCTGGAAGCTATAAAAGAGAACGGGTTGGTGAACAAGCGACACAAAACGAGAGTGCCGGTGATGATGAATACAGGGTGGGCGGCACAGCGGGCATCAGCAGCAGCGAGCAGTAGCAGGAGGCAGACGCGACAGGCAGTAGCAACACCATACAGCATAGGAGGAAGGTTGCGGCTGCTGCTTGCAGGAGGTGCAACGGAGAAGCTGTTTGGAGAGAGTGTCGTGCTCTTATCGTGCGTTAGTTGGCAGTCGCTGTCCGACCCACCAGAGTGCGGGGTTGGAAACGCGTTGAAGTCGTATTGGAAACATATTGGAAACGGTCTCAACCAGACAATTTCGACCCTTGGCCCAGGGTGAGCGGAAGCATTGAGGATGTAGCCGCCGCCGCTGAGGCCGCCGTTGCGACGCCGACGCCGCCATTATGACACCGACGATGTCTCTGGCTCTGACACGCACGGGATCGGACAGCGAGTAACAGGCAACGCACGATAAGAGTTCAGAGAAGCCTTTGGAGAGAGTGTGTCGAGCTCATATCGTGCGTTGCCTGTCAAAACCAGATACAACACAGCACAATGCAAGGCAGACCTGGAAACGATGAAACAACGAAGCTTGAATCTACCACAGGAGATCGATAGTGAGACCGACTGGTGTCCCGTGGTGTCCCGTGGTGCAGTTGAGTGAGACCGATAGTGAGATCGATAGCGGGATCGATACTGAGATCGATGTTGTGTCCCGCGGTGTCCCGTGGTGTCCCAAAAAGTGAGATCGATAGTGAGATCGATAGTGAGATCGACAGGTGTCCCGTGGTGTCCCGTGGTGTCCCGTTGAGTGAGACCGATAGTGAGATCGATAGTGAGATTGATGTGGTGTCCCTTGGTGTCTCGTGGTGTCCGATGGTGTCCTATGGTGTCCCGTTGAGTGAGATCGATAGTGAGAACAGTATTGAGACAAATAGTGGGGTCGAGAGGTGTCCCGCGGTGTCCCGTGGTGTCCCGTTGAGTGAGATCGATAGTGAGATCGATAGTGAGATCGACAAGTATCCCGTTGTGCCCCTTGCTGTCCCATTGAGTGAGACCGATCGTGATATTAATTGAGTCAGATATTGGTTCCCCCTCTCTCCTCCCCCCCACACAACCTCCTTATCTTATCACCTGAAGGGTAGTCGTACAGGTAGATGGAAAGATAGATGAACTGTTAGCGGGATCGTCTCGATAGATAAACAGATAGATTGGTACACACATATATCTATGCACCTATACGACCACCCTTCGGGTGATAAGAGGGTTGTGGGGGGGGGGGAATCACAATCGATCTCACTCAACGGGGACACCAAGGGACACGTGTCGATCTCTTCTTCGATCTCACTCAACGGGACACCACGGGACACTTGTCAATCTCACTATCGATCTCACTATCGATCTCACTCAACGGGACACCACGGGACACCACGGGACACCACGGGACACCTGGCGATCTCACTATTTGTCTCAATATTGTTCTCACTATCGATCTTACTCAACGGGACACCACGAGACACCACAGGACACCACGGGACACCACGGGACACCTCGGGCCATCGCCAGACGGACGGACGGAGGAGAAACATTTGTCTTGAATCCGCCTTAGTGCGCCCACGTAGTTTCGCCTCGCCCGCACGCACAACACGAACGAAACGAAACGATTTCCCGGTTTGGGGTCTCCGTTCCGCTGCGATCTCACCCCCCAACCACCGACACATATATATGTATATATATACATATATATATATATGTATATATATATACGGATCGACAGTTTTGGTTGCTAGTGGCAAGCGGGAGTTGGTGGCATATATTATTTATCGTGCATTCTTTGTTGGCGGCAGGCGGGGCTCATTGCACATCGACCGCCTCTCCCTTCCCCCCCAAAACTTCCTTAACGCCCGAAGGGCTGTCCTATCGGTATTGCTGCACCAGCCTAGGGTTTGGGTTTTCCGTGGCTGGCCCTCTTTAAATACGAGACCGTTTGGTGGCAGTTTTCTTGCAAACGTAGCACTTTTGTTTGCCGTATTGCGTTTGTTGTACAGTTGTTGATCGAACTATTTCTACCATGTAATGGATTCTGACGTGGCTCCGCGTTCCCCCCCCCTCTTGACTTGGAACGGACTTCAAAAGGCGAGCATGGCGAGCACCGTGCCTACGTCCGCCGCCGTCTGTATCTCACTTCCACACCTGATTCCTTATATATCCGATCATACCTATTGCAGGGACAAGCTATGGTATATTCGCGTACGCTCGAGGCGTAATTTACGGGACGGTCTACCATGTCCGTTTCGATGTTTAGGCTTTGGGTGGTACGGTTGGGGTTGCGGCGGCACGGCTGGGTTTGGGTACCGGGGCTAGGGAGTTACAGCTTACGCTGTTAGTGTTAGTTTCAGGGCGTGAGGGGCTAGCGGGTAGGGTTTTGGAGGCAGGGTGGGCGGCATGGCCAGACCTTGGGGGGGAAATCCATTTCTTTTTCTGAAACTGATGAGGGGGGAGGGGGGGGGGTCTGGCATCGAGAAAAGGTAGGGAAAAGGGGCGGGCCTGGGGGGGTGGGGGGGGGGCGCCCAGGCCCCCATTCTCTCGCGGAGCCAGCTGCGCGCCCGTCATGACTTGAACACTGTCTTGGATGCCTCCCCCTTGCTTGGTATCGCCCGGACGTGTGCACCTTTTCTCGGCGGGGACTAGTCAGGAGCATCCTGGATCATCCTGCAACAAAAAACCACGCACGAAACCGAAAAAAAGCACAGGGAATGGACGTCCGAGCGATGGCCAGCTCGGGTCGTGCGCCCGCGAGAAGTGGGCCCGCAGACGGGGGCTCCACGCAGTGTGCCCCGCTGGCGGCCTGCGTAGGCCGCGGCGGGAGGTTTCTATGTCACGCCTTCCTGCCCGAAACCGCTTTTCTGTTTCGTCTCGATGTTGCAGGCTGGGTAGTCGAAGGCCAAACTGTCCGATTGGATTGGGCCCCAAGGGCCAATCTGGCCCGGCCAAACTGGATGATTTGGGTTATTCGCCAGACTGGGTTCGCGTTGGCTCCCTCGCCAGATTGCCCCCGTTTGCCAGATTGGGCCTGCCAGATTGGCGCCAGATTGGCTTCGACTACCCAGGCAGTGGCACGCGGCCGCGCCCCCTCTCAGGAGTTCGACCAGCGCCTCGCCGACGTGGTTCAGAAGATGAACATCCCGCGCTGCAAAGATTTCCACCTGCGCGGAGGCGGCGCGCGGCGTGGGCTCCCAAACATCCGACGGACCGACTGTCTGAGTATAGCTTTCTCTTGCATTTCGGTTTCGGGGATGATGTTTTCAGGCCCAGGGCCAAACTGTGCTCTGTTAATGTTGACATGTTGCCACGCTCGTATACGTGGCATTTCGCTCCCACCCCTCTCCTCCGCCGCTTTCTCAAACAGCGCTGGGCCGAAAAAGCGTACGCGTGAGTCCCGACTTGCGCGAAGTTCAGTTTGCGAAGGCGATTTTGAAATGGGACGACCCTGAAGGGTGTCAACGGGGCCGACGACGGCGACGACGACGACGGCGAGGACGACGACGGCGGCGGCGGCAGCTGCGGCGGCGGCGACGACGACGACGACGACGCTGACGCGGGTCAGAGTCCTCAGGGATAATTCTTGGGGTCTTTTCGGGACGCTCTCGGGGACCTCTTGGGGTGCAGCTTGGGGCCCTCTTGGGAGCCGCCTCATTGGGCCTCTTGGGGGCCTCTTGGGGGCCGCTTGGGGGCCTCTTGGGGGCCTCCTGGCGCCTCCTGGGAGCCTCTCGGGGCCGAGAGCTCGAAATGTCCATACGGGTCCCCGTTTGGGCGCCCTCTTGGAGCCGTCTCGGAGATGTTTTGGGCCGTCTTGAAGACTTTTTGGGCCGTCTTGGGGCGGTCTTGGGAGCCTCTTAGGCTGTATCTAGACCAAAGTGGTGACACCACAGTCTTGGAGCGTCGGGAAGCCCATCAGCCTGGCGAAGGACCCAACCATATGCAGTAATGAATGCCGCAGTTGTAGGTCTCGTCATCCGTGGAGCTCCCTATGGACCACGAAACGCTGTACTGGGTGGGGGAGCCGCATGCAAGCTTTGGCATTGGGACCTTCGGGGGAGCTCCCCGTGGGCTGCGAAACCCTGTATTGGGTGGGGGAGACGCATGCGAACTTTGCCACTGGGCTGGGGCCTTCGGTGAAGCCCTCGTAAGGGGCCACGAAGCGCTGTATTAGGCGGGGTAGGCGCATGCGACTGAAGCCACTGGGGCCTGAGGGGCCATGAAACGCTGTACTGGGCGGGGCGGGGATACGCGAGTCGTCAATACAAGCATGCTGTTTGGAGCCTGACGAAGAACCGCCTTCGAATCTCGGCTTCCAGGGGTTGTTTGGAGGCTCAGGGCCAAACGTGGATCAAGGGCCGCAGGGTTGCCCCCAGGAGGATGGGTCGGGACCCTCGGAGTCCTCGTCGGGCTTCGGGGTACGAGGGCCGAGGGTCGAAGCGTCCTTGCTGCTTCCGGTTGGCAGCCTCGGGCCCTGGAGGCCTTCCTGTGCCCTCTAATTATAAGTCGGGCGTGTCCCTCTACAGGAGGAATATTCCAAACTAGTAAAACATAGTCTGGGGAGTATGTTGCAAGTATTTATTTAACCACTGGGGGGTATGTTTTGGGTATCTTTTACGTTTCGTCCAAAATCCCCCTGTAGGGGGGGCACGTCCGACTTAACTCTTGTTGTAGATCGGGGGGGGGGGGCGAAGCGATTCCGCCACCACCAGCTGGCCATCTGCAGCGCTGATGCCATGGGTGTCGCCCTGCGTTGGACGATGGAGTCCTGACGATCGGGATGCCGCAAGGCAGGGGAGCCCTCATGTTCCGAGCTTTTTCTTTTTGGGTGGAGGGCAGAGGGTGGAATCTGAAATGCCGTTTCGATTGGTTTTCGAGGCTTGACTTTGCAAAAGGTGAATCACACGACAGATGGATTCTCGGGGTGCAGAAGCCCATATGGATTTCACCCTGAGCCCTCCACCCTAAGAATGCTCGCAACACCATCGGGCCTGCTGTAGCGAGGATGCCCCGGATTCCCCCCGCGCGCTGGATGACGGATGCGTCACGGGCGGGATGCCGCAGGGCAGGGGGGCCACGCCACCAGGATTAAGTCGGGCCCGTCCCTCTACGGGGGGAATATGCAAAAATAGTAACAAAAATAGTCTGGGGGCGATTGTTTGACGATTTTTGAGCACTTGGGGTGTATTTTTAAGTACTTTTTATTTTTCGTCGAACATCCCCCCTGCAGGAGCACCTTCTTTGGAATCTCGCGAAGGTGGTGCTGGTGGTGCCGGCTCTTCCTCGCCTGGCCTCTGGATTGGGGCGATTTTGGAGGGCCTCCTGCGAAGTCCTTGGCATCGCTCGGACGTGTGCGTTTTCTTTCTCGGCGAGGACCTTCAGGAGCATCCTCGACCATCTGGCAAAAAGAGCACGCACGAAACCGAAAAGTGCAAGGGGAACGGACGTCCGAGCGACGGCAAGAGTCTCGGAACGTCGAAAGCCAGAAAAGACGAGGTTTCAAACTACCGAAAGGAACATCAATTGTTTGGGCCTCGCGGGCGGGCCGTCTGGAGGCCTTCCTGCGCGACTCGGAGCGATCTTCGGGCGCTTCGTAGCGCCCTGGGGCCGCCTGATGCGCCTCTTGGGGCCCTTTGGGGCCGTCTTGGGGCCCCGCTTGGCTCCGAACGTGTACGCGGGAAGCCGCGGCCGCGACGGAGGGCGTTGCGGAGAGCCTGGAACGCCCAGACGCGTCCTGAAGTCCGAGGCATGAGCCCTTGAAGTAGTCTGCAGGGCTCAGGACGGAGGATTCCAAGGGACCGGGGGGGTACTCCCAAACGTGTTTCGTGGCACGGTGGCGAACTCGGTTTACAGTCGGGCGCTGAAGAAGGAACTCTTTTCGTCGGGGAGGGGCTCGGTGTTTCTTGGTTGTTGTGCAGTTTGCCTCAGGTCTCCCTGAGGTTCTCCACGGGAACTCGGAGTTCAACGTTTGGGAAAAAGGGGCCTCGTTCCTTAGTTGGGGTTCCTTAGGTCAGCGCCCCGACTGCACAGCATGGCTGCAGAAGGCTATCGAGGGTCTGCCGCGGCAAGGGGAGTGAACGGAGATGGGCTGGAGGGGGGGCGGCGGTGGCGGCGACGACGTCGCCCACGGGGACGGTGGCGGCGGCGGCGACGGTGGCCACGACGACGACGGCAGCGATGACGACTGCGGCGACGGCGGCGGCGGCGGCGACGACGACGGCGGCACCAATGACGTCGGCGACGGCGGCGGTGACGGTGGCGGCGACGATGTCGGCAGGGACGGTGGCGGCGACGGTGGCGGCGTCGGCGACGGCTGCAGCAGCGGCGGCGGCGCGGCGCGAGGCTGCAGGAAGCCCGTCGGCCGCTGCCACTTTTGGCACCTCTCCGATGCGGCGACGGCCCGCTGGGCAGGCCGCGGCCGGGGGCCCTCCGCGCCGTCAGTAGGTCATCGCCTGGTCTTGAGCCTGTTTTTTTCTAGACTCTGGCAAGTTTACTTGCATGGACGGGGGGGGGGGGGGCGGCCTTCGCCGGCGCCTGCATTTCCACGCGCGGCGGTCGACGAGGGCGGCGACAATCCAGGCCTCCCAGGTGGGGCCCGAGCGGAAGGGGTCGGAGGATCGCCCCGCATCGCCGATGCATCGGCGATGCCGCTGGACGTGGAGCCTGACTTTGCCTGTGTCGATGACGATGGCGCCGATGCATCGCCGACGGCGCCAGTGCATCACTGGTGCATCGGCGGTGCGGCGCGATCCGCAGACCCCATCCATTCGGACCCCGTGCGGGAGGGATCCGGACAAGGGCGACGAGGGAGGCGAAGCCGACGGCGACGGCTGCGGGTGCCGACGCGGATGAGGACGAGGACGGCAAGAACGCCGAGGGCGACGTTGACGGTTGCCACGGCCATGGCCACGGCCACGACGGCGGCGGCTGCGAGAAAGACGGCGTGTCTCCCTTTCTCCCTCCCTCTTCGGTGTTCTCCCCCCCTCGTGGGAAAGCAACAGGGTGTAACGAAGAGGGAAGGGAGCTGTTTTTCTCCAGCGAGGGCGCGACGATAAGCATGCGTAGCAGCACATCGCGTGGCGCAAAGCGCTAAGTTAGTTAGGTGGCCTGGGGCCATGGCCCATGAACGTGGACGGGCGGGCAGGCATTGCTCCTCCGCACTGGTAGTTCCTCCTTGCGAATCCAGCTATTCGGGATGTCACCATGCCCAATGTGGTTTAGCATGGTGGTTCAACCTGGTGCGGTCCAGCATACGCTTAATCCGACTTGATCTCTCCACCTCGCAAAAGGGGGGTTCCGCGCGTGCGCGGCGCGACCGCGTCCGTTGAGAATCATGGCGGTCCCCAGTCAGCAGTTCTCAGGGCTACCAGAAAACTCCTAGGACGGTCTGCCGCAACTGGTGTATCATGACCTGGGAGGCTGTGGGCGCTGGCAAATTCGCATGGCGAACGAACCAGGTCCCAGCAGCACTCGCCCTCCCCGAAATCGGCGGGAGACACATCCACACCCACGAGCTCGCTGCCCGACCTCCTCGGCCGCGGCCCCGTGGGTACGGGGCGGCTCTTCGCGGATGCCCCGCGCGGAACGTATCCACCGAATTTTGTACACATACGATCGCGCCTCGGGATCCAGACCACGAGAGCGTGGATATGGACATGTCTGTCGCCCGCGAGAAGTCAGCTCGGATCCAGTGATGGCTGGACCGTTTTGGGACCTCCCTGTGTTTGCGGCTTACGGTTCCCCACCGGGACCCCTTGTGCGCGGCCCGCCAGCCCTCCCTCCCCCCCAGGGGGCGCCGCGCCCTCTCGGAGTCATCGCTTTGTGCGTGAGCCCCGCGAACACCAAGATTTTTCCGGGGGACCTCGTCTGTCCTGCAATTTGCCGTTTCTCCGACATCCCGCGCGGATTCGGCGAGGAGTCGGCGCGGATTCGGCGCGGAGTCGATGCGGATTCGGCATGGATTCGACGTGGATTCGACGTAGATTTGCCCCAGAGCGGCGCGACGGGGCAGGCAAGGTCCTCAGAAGAGGCAACCCAACAGGTCTTGGCACGAGCGCATGCGGACCTCCAACAAAAAGAAGACTCGGCTGCGCCTCGCGCTTCGCCGACGGGGCCCGAGCGTTGTCGCCGATCGTTCGCAGGGGCGGCCGCGCGCGAGCGCGGATATGATCGCGCGTCGCGTATCGCTCGGCGCGACGCGCGAGGTCAGGTGACCTGGCGTGGCGAACGTG